CCCACCCCACCCCCAAGCCCTGCCTGCTTTGCCTTTGGGAGCCCCTGAACTGCAAACAGCCTTTCGATGCAAAGTGGAGCACTTCTCCAAGAAGCTGGTTCTGAGCTGGAAGTGGGGATAGGGCGGGGGGGGAAATGGAGTGCAGCCAACAAGGAGCTCCACACTGCCCCCTCCCCTCCTCTCTCGCTCCTGCCCCTTGGCTCAGCCCCAGAGAGAACCCCCTCCGCCCTCCCTAAAGGCAGGAGAGCTACAGCCAGGGTGCGGGCAGGGGGGCAGGAAGGGCCCTGGGCAGAGCAGGTACCCTGCAAAATGAACCTCTGGGCAGCATCTATTTAGGGACAAGGCAGCTGCTGGCGGCAACAAGCAGACCCTCACACAGCCAGTAGCCACCCTGGCAATGGGCGATGGCCCTAGCCCTCGCCTGCATCCGCAGCCCCTGCAGGGACTGAGGCCCAGCCACGCCCGGAGAAGGCCGACCATTGGTCTATGTGCCCTCCGGCACCCATTCCAAACCACCTGACTAAAAAGTGCCTGCTTCTTGCCATTAGGGTGCTGAACCGCAGGGCTTCACCCTCAGGCCAGACAAGGGACCAGGAAAGCCCCCGCCTGCTCCCTTCTGGCCTCCCCCGCCCACTCCAGGCTTGGGGAGCTTGGGTATTCAAAGGCACATGGCACCTGCTGCTGCGCAAGGGAGGCCTGACGGACACGTGCTGTGGGTGGCAGCAAGGGGGCGGGGCCGCCCATTGACCAGGAAGCCAAGGGGACCAGCATCGCCACAACCATTGCCTCTCTAGGGGGCACCTTCTCTGCAGCCCACCTTCAGGCGCTCTAGGCAGCTCCAGCAGCAAGGCCCTGTGGCCCCCACCTGTCTTTCTGCCAACCTACCTGGTGCCCTTGGGTCAAAGCAGACAGTGGGGAGCACCCCCTTCCCCCCAGGATTCCTACCAAGGCCATCTGACCTTAGTATAGGCACCAGAGCTGGGAAGACCCAAGCAGCCTCTGGGAGCCATTGTTTGACCTCTTGCCTGCGATTTTTTTTGGGGGGGCATCCAGGGCTCCAGTCCCCACACCTAACTGATGCCTTTCTGCAAGCGTGGACAAGGGCAGCCATGGTGGCTGGTTACCCTGGGGCTCGATTTAGCTCAAGGACCAGACTGTGCCTGAAACCCAGGTCCCGAAGGGATGGAGGGGGAGGAGGTTAAACTCCTCTCCCCACTTTGCAACTCCCTTAGTGACCTCCCTGCAAGATCTTTTCCAAGCCACATTGCAGCATCACACGGCGTGTGTAGAGGACAAGTGGGCGTATGGCAGAAAATGGGAGCAAACATGGGCTGTGTGTGTTTGTGGCATGCGGTGGGGGGGGGGGGGAAGTAGCCCAGAAACCACCTGGTAAGCTGTATCTATCCAGAGGCTGCTTAAGGTGGGAGGGGGCAGCCTTGTGGGCTTCGCAGTCCAGACTCTGATGGGGGGGCCTCCCCGAAGGCCCATGACAAAGCCAGAGGCAGTGCGGTGCGCTTTCTTCGGTCCTGGAGCCAGCCAGCCCCCAAGCCAGCCTTCCAGGTGCCAGGCCTGGGCCCCCTCTTGCACAACCCTGGCCAGCGCCTTTAGCAGAGCTGCCCAGGAAGGCTCCAGGGACGCAGAATGCCACTGATGGCACCCAGGCTTCAGGAGCTGGGGCACCTCTCCAGGCATGCCTTTCTGCTGCGATGCCAGAAACCCCACTGGAAACTCAGGGCAAACATCCAGAGACACCCCCAGGGTCCCTGTTACTGACCCTCGGCAGCTTCTCCTCTCTGCAAAACACTCCTGCCCAAGGACCACATTGGAAGACCCCGGTCCCCACCTGCCCCCTTATGCCGTGTTCTTGGCTCCAAGATGTAAGACACAACAGAGGGCACACACTGGAACCAGCTTAGAGGCCATTTAGTCCCCCCACAAATCCACTAAACAGTTCCCCCAGGGAGGCGAGCCCCCTCCGTCTAGGCAGGCTGTCCCACTGCTTCTCAGCTCACGGCCAGGAAATTCCTCCGGAGAGTCAGCCTGGACCCCTCTCATTTCACTTAAGGACAGAAGGCAGGGGGCAAAGAAACAACCAGGACGCCACCCACGCCGAGCTGACGCCCTGATTCTACCGCGCCCTCCAATAGGACACCTCCCTTCCCTCAGCCTGTTTCTCCCTGTGGCTTGGAGACCCCCCGGCCTGCAGCCCTGATGGAGAGAGCGCAGCGAGGGCAGAGAAACTCAGACCTGCAGCAGGCCCGCCGACTCACTGACAAGACTGCCCTAGGACCCAGGACGGCTTAAACAAGGTTAGTAAAAGGTAAACGCTCGCCTGTGACATTCTAGCGCAGGGAAGCTGCGCATGTGCCTCAGTCTCCTGACACACCAGCTCCCTCGAGCACAGATCCAGGGCGGGCCTTCCGAATGAGGGGTGGACCTGGCTAAGGGCATGACTATGGCCTCCCCGCACGGTCCTCGGCCTCCCCCGGCAAGTCCGCCGGTTTCATTGGCCTCCCTCCCAGGGCTGGCATAACTGTCGAGAGTCGGGGTGCAAAGCGCGCCAGACACTCTGAGCTAATCCATCAGCAGCCAGGGTTCCCGTTAAGGGGGCTGCCTGCGTCCCTGGGCCAGTGGCCCTTGCAGGGGAGGCCCGCTCCAGCTTGGCAAGAGGGGTGTCTCGGGGGCTCTCCACGTGTTCAGGAAGGGGCTGAGCAGCCTTCCCAAAGGGCGCCCCTTCCAAGGCTGCTCCAGGATGACTGGGGCCCAGCTGAGCAAGCACAGGAGCAGGGGCTGTCCTCGGCCAGAGGGGAGCCGTCACGGGAGTCAGCCCAACAGCAGGCAGATGACGGATTCTTCCTGCCTGCTTCTGCTCCAGCCCATCATGCGGTTCTCTTATCAGGTGGGCCTGACAGCTGAAGAAACCTTCAAGGTTGCCAATCAGGCGCAGACAAGGAGATAACGCCAGGGAGACGGTCCGGAAAGACTTGTAGGAGCACCCCCCCCCAGTGGGCTCAGCACTAAAAGGGAAATTAAAGCCGAGTTCACCACCTTCCCCCCAGCGCGTGGGTCAGTCCTCAACAGACAGAGGATCAGAAGACAAAAGCAGAGTCTAATGCAGGTGACCGGACCCTCCGGCTCTCCCACCCCTAGCGGACAAAGGGCTATGGCTGCTCTCTGGCCAGCCTGTGGGGAGAACCCTGGGGGCCCTTGTGTGGCTGGAACCAAGAGGAGAGCAGGGAGGAAGGAGCCAACAGGCCTGGAAGGGTGTGTCTGCCACGGCCGGCTTACAGACCTCATCTGTAGGGAGCGATCTTGACAGCCGCCAAAAATATGCCCAGCTGCTAATGAGTTGAGGTCCCAGGTCATCCATCGGTATTTCTGAAATGCCTTTCAATTGGGAAGAAATGCCAGCTGGCCTCTGCTTTGCCCACACTCACCCCTTGCCCAGTGGCAGAGCACCAATGCCTCCACACACAGCTTCCTCCTGAGAGGCTTGCAAGGCAGAGAGGCGAGTGGTCCCTCACCCACTGCACCGTCTCGGCGACCAGCTCGTTGGCAGACCAGGACCTCTGCCCATTTCCCACAGGGGCCAGAGCGCCTGCCCCCATTTTCCTAGCTTCACGGGGCCCCAGGCAGCAGGGCTGGTCTCTGCGGTGCCCATGGGCCTGGGTGCCCATCAGGAAGGGGCCAAGTACCAAGGGTGGTGACGGCTGGAGAATGGCCAGAAGCTCAGCAACCTTCTGCTCTTCTAAAACATCCCCGATGTGGGCCCACCCTTGAAGCTGCTTTGCAAGAAAGAGAGACCACAAAACATGGCAGCGAGAAATCAGTTTTCCGAGGCCAGGTGTGTCACTTCCTCAGCAGCATTCAGGGTGCAATGGCTGTTATTGGCTGTGACCACTGGAAGCCCCACACAGCTTCCCAGTGGCATCCATCAGTCTACCCATGTAGCTAGAAGGGGATCCTCTGAAGCTGGGCTCTGAAGGGGTCCCCGTAGAAATGGGCCTTCCTGGGGCTGCCCCCAGCTTGCGGATCATCCGGCTAGCAGTGGTCAGGCCTTTTCCTCTGACATTTCCTGGCGTTAAACTGGCTTCACCTCTTGGATTGATTTTACAAATGTTTATATTGTATTTTTAATTGTGGCTTTAAATGCTAGCTGCATTTTTCAACCTGTGTTTAGCTATCAGTTGCCACTTTAAGAAGGAAAGAGGAATAGCCATTTTTTATAAAACACTTTGCAGAAGTGGCTTCTTGTGAACAGGAGCATGCCAACCCAAGATGGATGAAGAGTTCAGTGAAAATGTTGACCCTGCGCACAGCTGCTCTGAAAAAGAAAGAATCCTGCAGGAGGACCTGCTCATGCCATCAGGCCTCTGGTGTGACCCCACCCAGGACCCTCCAGACACCACCTCAGGCCAGGTGTGGCAGTATGGAAAAGATGCAGAAAAAGGGGGCAACGCCTCCGTCCGGGGGGACATTCACAATCCGGAGCCTTTCGCTTCGGGAGAAAGGAGGGGAAGCCGGGAGAGGAGACCGGCCGGGCAAAAGCAGGAGAGCAGTGCCAGGCCAAGGTAAGGGTCTCTAGCCCTGGACTTCCCAGCTGTCCCCCTTGGCTCGCTAAACCCCAGATACCGCCAAGGGCAAAGTCACATCCACTGGTGGTGCCAGCCGAGCAGCAGAGGAACCCTGCAGGCCCCCCAAGAAGAGGGCAGCCGCCACAGGAGGCACACTGGGATCCTTGCCAAGGCTGAGCAGGAAGGCGTAGCCCTCCCACCGAGAGGAAGAGAGCAGCCAAGGGGATAGCAAGGGATTTGAATTCCAGAAACCAGCCTGGATTAGCCACACTTGGATGCCCCGTGGCTCACGCAGGCGGCAAGAGCGAAGGGGGGCCAGTCAGGCAGAAGGATGAGGCTAAACTTCCACGCCTGGGCCTCCTCCCCGGCCCTGCTGGTAAGGAGACGTGGTAAACCCTTCATTTGCCCCTTCAGGCCAGCCAAGCAGCAAGCACCCCGTGGCTCGCTCTGGAGCCCCGAGGGAAGAGATCGACACACCCAACCCTGGGAGCCCAACCCCACCTGGCGCGACCTCCAGACCTCCTCGGGCCTGCCCTGCCCTATACAGCCTGCTCTGGAGCCTGAGCCACCTCTCCCCTTCTGGGGCCTCCAGGACGTGCTGCCCTGCTGCTGAGGGTCCCAGAGCCTCCATCCTGCACCTTTTCGCCGGATGCTGCCTCCCTCCAGACGGCTGACGGGCAGGGGCAGGGGCAGGGGCAGGGGCAGGGGCAGGGGCAGGGGCAGGGGCAGGGGCAGGGGCAGGGGCAGGGGCAGGGGCAGGGGTGAAATGGGAGCCAGCAAGCTGTTTTATGGTTTTCTAGCACTTCCTCCAGGTTTTTAGACCGCCCTGAACCCAGAGTACCGATCCTCTTTTCACTTCCCATAATAGCAGCGTCAAGCTCCGTCCTGTCAACTTCTGAAGTCTAGATTTTTAAAAGTATCAGGAAAACAGTTTTATGAATGTTATCTCGCATAACTCAAAATAGCCTTTTTGTTTTAAGCTCTTCTCTTTGACTGAGTTACTCATGATTCTTTAAATTCCTAAGTCTCATTTTAGGGCAGAAAAGAGGGGTGCAAATCCAATAAATAACCACACAGTTCTATTCAGAAGACAGAAAAGCTACTCGGATTGTGAAGTGAGGGGTCCCTGAAATGCTTAAAGCCCTTTCTCCCTTGAACTGAGACTGCTGCTGACATAAGGAGGAATCACAGATGAGTGAACAGTCTTTTGCATTTGGAGGTTACTTGGGAGCCCATTCAGCATAGCCAAAAGGCAGTGGGTGCTGGAAGCTACAGAGCTTGCTGCTTTGTCACCCCCCACCAAAGCTGCGATTCCACTCTTGGCCAACGTTCCCACCGGCCAGCCCTCTTGGCCTCTTGCTTTCCCCAACAGCCTGATGCAGCTGGATGGCCTGAGAAGGTGACAGCCGGGGGTGAAGCAAGGAGTCCTCTGCAGGCCCCTTCTGCTGGGGCACACCTTCTCTGGACAGAGTGGCTTCCCAGTGGCCCCACTTAAGGCCTGCCCCACACACACTCTTCCACCAGCGCCCTCTTCAACCTGGGGCTCCGGGGACCAGCCTCTGCAACTCCCCCTTGGCCAAGAGGCTGACCCTGGCCTTGCACTCAACAGCCAGGGCACCTCCTGCAGCCACCCCCAGACGCCCCCCTCACCAGCAACTCCCCCTCACTCTCACAGCCAGACTGCAGAGGGGCGATCCTGGCCTGGACCCCTTCGGCCTCTCGCTTCTGTCTCCATCCTAGAGCTCCCCACCCACCAGGCAGGAGAGAAACCTCCACCCCCCATGGGCCCAGGCAGGCTCTGCACCAAGGAGAGCCCAGATTCCTTTCCAGGACAGCACAGGGTGGCAAGAACGTGGCTGCCGACCTCGGAGCCACGACCTACAAGGGAACAAGGGATTGTGCCAGGCAGGCAGTGCCTCCTGCTCCGGGGTGCTAGCGCACGCCCCTGCTCCCGCCCACCACCCCCAGGCCTAGACGGCCCCAGCGGGGCTGCAGCGGGGCGTGAGCAGAAAGGGGGTGTCCGGCCACGGGCTCTCCGAAGGGCCTGGGAAGCGGCGGCGCCCCTCTGCAGTCAGTAGCTGTTCCCG